AACTGCAGAGCCCGTAATGACGCAACTGGCGGAGCCCCCTAATACACATTTCTACTAAAGAAAAAGAAGCTCAAATATCAGGACGGTGTGGAAAAAAAAAATAGTCATATTTAATATTGTATATACAAAATGGGGTTTATTCTTAGCTAACCTAAGTTCAACCAGGCCACGAAAGACGGCGCCAAAGAGGCCACCCGCTCTCCGCGGAAACACGCGCACAACAGGAATGTCGAGGCGACCACGCGCTCTCCACGGAAACACGCGCACAACAGGAACGTCGAGGCGACCCCGCGCTCTCCGCGGAAACACGCGCACAACAGGAACGTCGAGGCTCGTGGCCGCTGCCAGGTGCCGGCCGGTCTTGTCCTGGGGAGCGTGGAGCGAGGACCCACAGCACCTCTCCGCGGAAACACGCGCACAACAGGAATGTCGAGGCGACCACGCGCTCTCCACGGAAACACGCGCACAACAGGAACGTCGAGGCGACCCCGCGCTCTCCGCGGAAACACGCGCACAACAGGAACGTCGAGGCTCGTGGCCGCTGCCAGGTGCCGGCCGGTCTTGTCCTGGGGAGCGTGGAGCGAGGACCCACAGCACTTCCAGAGCAGAGGCTCGAATCCAGCAGTAAAACAGAACATCGAAGTGAAACAGCATTCCTTAAACCTTCGGGTATAACGAGGATGGATGACAGTTCAGCTCTTGAAATCTGTTCAACAGATGTCTGTCAGCTGCTCACTTCAAGCTACTTCAAAAAGTAGCTCATGACCAGATTCCGGTTTGAAGGCTCATAGAGTTTTCCTTAACTGGTTGAAGACATCACCGAAGCTCAAGAACCCAGATGCAGGCTGACAGCACTGGTGGCTGAATGTCTGCAAGCCCTTTACTGCTGTGGTGGCTTGAAACACACTCGGCAAAAGAAAATAATACAGATATATGCCTAAACTGGTACTGCCGCTCTAGTAAAACAGAAAAACGTACACAATATTATCACAACCACTGTGGCATTATTCCAACTCAGGAATTACTTCCTTCAAAAAATTGTGAATTTTGAGAAAACCCAGAAATTTCCTATGGAATTTAAAAAAAAAAAAAAAAAAAAAAAAAAAAAAAGGGCGCTGCTTCCTGAGAGTAAAACGTATTAAGATGAACCTACATTCAATTTGCATGGTTTTTTAACTAGGCTCAATTTACAATTAGAAAAGAATGCTTTTACCTTAAAACTTTGTAAAAAAAAGTAACAAAAAAAATGGAGTCTATTAGCACAGTTATTTCTTCACATAAATGGAACCAGTAAAAGGTTTCTCCTGTGGGGTTTTTTGAGGCTTTTTTAAATGTTTCTCTAATAGGGGCACTATCTGTTACAATATATACCTGAATTGTATTGTAAAATCTAATACATCGGTAACATTTCAGAGAGTATTTTTAGGAGACTTAACAGATACAAGGATAAACAGTCCTTTATCCTCTGCTATGCTGTACTGTGGCACAGAGGACAGAAGTTATAATTGTTTGCTTCTTTGGCTTTCATGCAGTGCTTACATACACTGCACATCCAGAATCGATACTCCAGGATAGGCTCTCCTGTTGCAACACATACAGGAAGCTTCCCATCTCCACTATTTAAAAAAAAAAAAAAAAAAGGAGTAAGGAAAGCTGAAAGAATAAAAACCATGGTTTTAAAATAGCAACGAATACCTGTTCTGTAGAAATTTGCAGAACAGCATAAATACCTAATTGTGTGCCTACAGCTAATTAGAAAACTTGTGATGCTCATCTGTTAAATACTGCTGCTCTATTCAGTACATCTGCACAGTAAAATCAAACAAGACAGGTTAAAATCCTATTCATTAAAAAGAAAATTGATTCACAATCAATTTCCAGACTCACAAATTCCATGCTGTTAGCAGGAAGCATATGTCAAAGACACCATTGTGGGTATAGCCACTGCAAGGACTTGCCCCTTAAGTGTGCCTTTCATATTCTAATTCTTTCACTTGACATACCTTCTCACACCATGTAGATTTAGGTAATTCACAAAACACTGGAGACTTACTGGTTAATAATAGTTAAACATTCACTTGTTGACATTTGCATCGCACCACAATGGTGATGCAAACAGTAACATTTTTACTTTAATGGCACATGACACTTTGTCAAAGGCCCTGAAACTCCTGCGCTCTGTCCACATGCATTTCAACTTAAGATGAAGTTAGATCTTTATGCCCAGTTCCTCGAATATAGTCAGTGTCTGTTCTCCCAAATGACCCTTTCTGCAAACTCGCTAACACCTGCAACATTCTTGGCCAATATTTGGTTTAAGCAGCAAAGCACCTAATTAACTTGGTCACACAAAACCTGCTAAAACCCAGAATGCGGACAATGGCAGAAAAAACTGGTAGTGTTATTACTGTGTCATATAAATATAAACCCACCTCTCAAGAACATCATCCAGATCAGAGTTTTTGTTATACTTTGGACAATGTCTCGTGAATATCTCTAGAGCAAGGTCTTCATACTGTTGCCTCTGCTCTGGCCTAAGAGTTTCCAAGGATTCTAGTTTAACGAAGGCTTTTGAACAAATATCAAATGCTCTGTTTGCACATGCACAGAGAGCCAAAAGGGAATATATTTCAACTGCAGGGATAATGTCTTCATAATCTCGCAAATGAAGAGCTAAGAAATGAAACAAACAGACAAAAAAAAAAAAATCCAAGGAAATTATTATGTGTCTTCTGAGAAGTGCAAGCATCTGTATGAAATGTTTGCTACTAGTAGACAGTATTAATCTTACAAATAGGACAGAATGAACCAAAGTCTTTTCATTGACATGACTGTCAAGCATGCATGGTTCAACACTTTTTAAAAATAAACAGAAATAAGGGGATTTGACTGGGAAATTAAAGTGTCTTTTTGGGACACTGGGTTTTTTTTTAAAACGTATTAGAAGTATTTAAAATGGACCTTCATTACTTGGACAAAGTATAGGCCACTATTTGCTTCTCTAACTCCCACAATTTTTTATAAAGCTCTACAGGCAGGTCTGATGTGAATTCAGGCATGCCTTATAATTTATAGAGAGAAACAAAACAGTCAACAGAACACCTACAGAGATCATCAAATTTAACCAGGTAACATTTGGTAAGTTAGATTTGCATTGTCTCCAAGAAAATACTTTCCAGGTATCTTGACTGCAGCCATATTCAATTCATTATATGGTTTTGTTTTAAATTCCACAGATCTAGCAATAGGAAAATGTGCCAACTATAAATTAAATGGTGTGCTGTGCAGGTCTGTAAAATTAGAACAGTTTCTTTACAGGGTTAAAAATGAAGTCTTACCTGTTTTAAGTGCTGCATCTACAGAACCTTTATAGAGCTGTCTTTGTGCAAGTATGAAAAAATGGTAAGCCTCAGCTCCTCGCCAAGCATTGTCTGCAAAGCGATTAGTTGAAGAAAGAACATCTTCTTCTAGCAAACCAGCCAAAGCTGAAGCAGTCTGAAAACAAAGCAGTATCACAAGTAATTTTTATAGGAAACAGATACAGCAGGAAATGGGGATATATGAAAAGAACTTTTCTGTACTTGGTGATTACACCACTGTCTGTGTTAACTAGGGAAAATATAAATACATGGACCTAAAGTGAACATTGTTAGGTATTTTATACAGTGCATAGGCAGAACATATGGTGCACATTTTCCAAGATTAATATCATATACATGTGTACAAATATATTCTGTGCACATCTGCAGACTGGTTCATAGTTTGGATTAATATTGCATTTCAACACCAGAGCTCTTAAAACTTTGTTTAAACCATTTCATTTGTGAATATGAAGATGAAAGTGTGAGCAGAAAAAAAAAATTCTTCCATTTGCTTCCCCCATATCTGGAGCCGTCTCCCTGCTAAATTATAGCCAATATAGCTTAATCTAATCACAGATCTCTCTTTGGGATTGATAGCCATAAATAACAGGAAAGCAAGAGTATCGCAGGAAAATACAATCTGGAGTTTCTTAGTATGATTTTCATTGTTATAGTGAAAACATTAAGAAAAACAGAAAACTTTGGAAGTAAAATATCTATTAATACATATGATTTAAATGTTTTAAAATAATACTTTAAACAGTATGTTTTCATGGAAGACTTGCTTTACGGAAAGCTTTGTTCTTAGCCGGAAAAAGCATTTTTAAAAAAACATAATAGCCTCACATGAAGATAGCTTGCTTTATTCTGACTAGGTAGCACATACCAGAATTCAGAAAGGGCGGGGGGGGGGGGGGAGAC